AACTGCATGTCAATGATCTGGATATTCAGTGTTAGTTTTGAACCAAAACCATCTAATTTTCTTTCTTTCTTTTTAATCAAAACTTTTAGTACTCCTTATGAAAGATATTCAGTCCATCAGAATAAAAGTGAAAGAGGGTCCTAGGCTAAATTTTTTTGATCTTTTTGTTTGGTTTTTCTTTAAATTAGGGAATTGGTTGTGAGTATCGACATAGTAAAATTGTCAGGCTCAATCCAAGTGACTACTGGTACTAGTTTACTGGGAATTGTATTGATCCGACCTATGGTTTTCGGCATCCTGTGAGCTCGTATTCTTTTTAATAAGTTCATGTTGATTATGGAACTAATATATCGTGAACGAATTGGATTTTTTTACATGTTTTGGAAATTTTACAATTGAATTGTATTGAATTATAGCTTTAGAAGACAATTATGCATGCATACAACTCGAAAGGCATCATGACATGGTAGTATATTTGGAGTAGCTACTTGACCCTGTCATGGCGCCTTTCGAGTTGCAAAAGAGACTGAGAGGTGAATGCGATGTTTAAGATTTCATTTTATTTGATCATCTGTTGGAAAATCTTTAACTACAAGGATCAAACGAATAAATTATTATATGCCATTTATACAAAATAATTTCAGCTGTGTTGGTGACTTTCAACAATGATGCTTAGTTCATCTTAGTAGTATTTGTCAACTCTGTATTTCTAACCCTATTTTTTCTCACAAGCATTTCATCGAACATCTATGCTTCACCTGAGATGAACTGTATCTAACATTACACCTTGAATCATTGATAGTCCCGATAGTCTCTTGATAGAATCTTCTCTCAATGAACCCTTATTCAAGTCAACACCTCTACATAATTCAAAGTTATATTAGAATTTCCATAAATCCCCGACTGAAAAGTTACGCTAAAAATGAGAAGAGATAAGCGAAAAAGGAAATTCGAGATTGAAAAAGAAAATTCGAGATCGAAAAAGAATTTGGGGTTTAGAATGAAATTGATGGCTGTGTTGCAAGTTTTAAAAGTTGGGGTGTAATACCCCAACCCGTATCTAACCCAGATACGAGTCCGAGATGTCACATTGACTTTTAAAAACGATATTCTTACAAAATATCAAAACATTTGAACTCATTTTAAGAAAATACCACAATATTCTATCAAATTATGTTTCATATAAAATTTCGAGTCAAAAACGTATTTATGAAAGTGAAATACGATATGAACAGTACCCTACTACAGTACCCGAATGTTAAAATTTTCCAGATTGTAATAGGGGAACCGATTCCCCTGCTACAGGGAATCGATACCCTGCTACAATACTGCTACAGTATTTTCGTAAAACATGTATAAAACTCATAAAATTTAAAACGTTCATCTCTATACATTTTCCATTTACAAAAAAATACGTTTAAAACATTACAAAACTTGTTCAGTGAATATCATATTCAAATCTTTTATATTAAATGCCAACTAAATTCTATATAACCAAATACATGTAATTTAACTACATTTCTGATCTGATCTTCGGTAATGAGAATTGACCTGTCTTGTTCCTCTTTACTTCTCTTTTCGTTTTCCAAACCTACGTGTGAAACAATCACACGCTAAGTCGATGACTTAGTGAGGCATATAAAATATATAATATAACCATATAAACAAAAGGCATACATCTGCAAATATTATCATTAATCCCTTTTACTTACCATATACTCATCATCATCATAATCTCTATTTATCATATAATTTTGTAATTATCATTTCTGTATCTCATATAGCACACATAACATTATATAATTCATGTAACATATTTCATATCACCAAAAACATATACATCACATATATTGTATTTGTTATTGTCTCTTTATTAATCTATTTTCACATGTCCCTAATTCTTTTTATCATATAAGCACATAGTAAACATTTCTATACACATCATGGATCACATATATTCTTTCATAACATAACACACATAGTGTCATACCAATTAATTTATTTACTCTATTTAAAGCCCTTGTATTAGCCCATGTATACTTTTGAGAACTTAAGGTATGTGAGTACATTGAGGTTGTGCACCACTATGCTGTCACCACAGCTCGTATAAATATCCCGAATGACCTATCCAGAGATCATACAGAACCTCGACAACTGTCCATAGGTCCTGAAGAACCTAGGTAAACTGTTCATATGTTCCTTAGAACATAGGTATACTGTCCATATGTCCCAAAAGACATAGGTAATTCTGTCTATATGTTCCGTAGAACATAGGTAAACCCTCGACTCTTGGCATGCCAACTATACCACTAGCTCTCATATCACTTAACATAGGCATTATCATTTATATCATTTCACACATTAACATGCACATTTCACTTTTCATATGATTTCATAATCATATGCCATTTAGCTTATAGCACTTCTCTTGTGTTCATATGACATGTAAATCATTATCATCTCTTGTTCTCATATGCTTCACATACATCACATATATCATATTCATATCATATATTCATATAGGCTCACGGTTTTATCACCTATCACGTCATTTCACATATATACTTTTATATCACATAAACCCTTATCTTCTTGTCACATAGCTTCTTATTATATCATTCACCTCATATAATCAAACATACATACATTTCATGTCATTCATTTCATTCTCTATATCCTTATCACATAACTTATTTTATTTCTCATGTTCTTATGTAAGCACATATATATATCACATATACATATAATCATGTAACTCATATCACATACAATAACATTTTAAGAGTTACTTATTACCATAGTAAATCCGTCACTGGCTCATCGCAAGCCAATATTCGTTCTATAAGCACAAATTAAATTGCACCCACCTTAGCCTTGCTTTGATTCGATCCTAATCCTTTAATTATTCCGGAACTTGTTTAGGCTCAATATCTACATAAATATAACATTTCAAAACAATTATCAGAAGCCTAAACATTAAACTTGATGTTAATAACCTAAGTCGGTTTAATAAACCAAAATTCCAAATTCCATTTTTTTCTTTAGGGGAGAATCGATACCCCCCAGGGGGTATTTGTTCCTTCTGCACAATCTTGAATTTTCGTTCAAGCCCAGAAATCATTGTTCATTGCACGAAAATTCACTATTTCCACTTCAATTCTTCATGTTTCATTCACTTTTCTATTCTTAACTCAAATATACATACTTAAATTAATTTATATCCATTTAAACCATCTTTATCTTCTATATCTCATTATGATTCTTAAAATTAAGAATCATACCAAATTTTCAACATGTTATAATTTCAATTCTATCACTTCATATTTCTTAATTAAGCTGATGACAAGTCGAATTTAACTTCAAAATCAACTTATCAACTCTATTTCAAGATTTCACTAAAAAATCCAAATCTTTAATCTTCTCTAAATCCTTTATCTTTTGATTTTAAGATAACTTAAGTTTTCCTTAAGCTTAATTATCATCTAATGATAAAAAACCAACCTTTAATTCAACAAATAATAAAAAAAATAGAAAACTCACATTGCCTTGGAGCCTTCACGGGAGGAGGAAGAAAAATGGAGAAAGTTTGTAGATAACTCCCCCCACTCCACGTGAATCATTCATATAAAAGGGGAAAACTATCTTTCTTGCCAAATAACCATTTTGCCCTTTAATTCCTTTGATAATTACTAAACCTTTCAGGAAATATTCCCAAATAAATCATTGAACTATTCAACTATTTTACTTGACCAACAAATTCTGAAATATTTCAATTTGGTCACTAACCCGGTATTGAGGATGTTACAGGGGACCTAAATGCAAGCACCTGAAAAGTTTAGTGATCATATTACAAACGTACTAATGGCAATGTAACGGCGGGTACCATATTGTAAACAAACTAAATGTTGGAGGATTGTATTGTAAGTTTTAAAAGTTGAGGGACCTAAATGAAAGTTTTAGAAAAATTCAGTGATCATTACTATACTTTACCTTATATTTTAATATTGCTCTACGTATATCAACAATTAATTCATGAATTTCATCCCAAATAATCAATAAGCAATTGGAATATACGAAAAATACATGGAATAGAACACATATTACGAGAATGGTAGTTGTTAATAGTAGTTCACGCTATGGCGTTAGTCAGACATGGGCCGTGCAACCCTCATTCCTAAGGTGCGTTTAGTTCACATAATGTAAGATTATCAGTGGGAGTAAAAGATTATCAAAGAATAGGATTACTGGGAATGTTGTATTTTGTATTTAGCAGGAATGTAAGATTATCGTTTTTGGTTAAAGGAATAAAAAATTATTGAAATGTATATTTGATCAATTTGTCCTTATTATATATTTATTTTTTTAACAAGTTGAATTCTGTTATAATATTACTATAAGATATTTATATATTTTCTTTAAAAAATTTAAATTCATAAAATTATATAATTTTTTATAAATTAAAAATATAAAAAGGTTTAATGAAATGGTAAAATTTTATTTTAACCCCTTAACTTCATATAAATTTTTAATTATAGATTTTTTTATAAATCTAAAATAGTTTAAGGATAAATTTATAATTTAACTATTGTAGAATTTTTACCATTTAATGACAGAAAAAGAATATTTTTGAGAAATTTTTTTAAAGACATTTTAATCTAAAACGCTGGTAATCTAATAATACCTAAAGGAATGCATAATGACATTCGCAGTAATATATCATAAAAAATCAATTATTAATAATAAAATATTATCAAAAATAAGATTACTTATAAATCAAATAAGAGAATGTGAATTTATTTCTTTCAATAATCTCACATTCCCCTAACCCAATACGTCCTTAAGGAATTGAGATACTCTCTATTGGTTTTCGTGTAGGAAGTTGCCTCGAAGGCCTTCCCCCCTCTGCTAAAAAAAGCGCCTCATCTGCGCCTAACAATCTCTTCAGTTTCTCTCTCAAAGAAGCAATAGCACAGCTTCTTTTTCTCTTTTATTACTTCTCTCAAAGAAGTGACAATGGCTATTCTGAAGACGGTGATGGCTGTGGCTGTCATGACAGCCACCATCGAATGGAAAATGGCTGGAGTACATATGCACCACGTAGTTGGAGGTTACCAGGGGTGGGACCCTTCCTCTGACGTGGCATCTTGGTCCTACTGTAGGCGCTTCAGTGTTGGAGACAAAATCTGTAAGCTTTTGCTTTTCACTTTCTTTCTAATTAGTTTTGCACAGAAAAGCGTACCAGCTCCGTTCACTTTGTAAATAGATTGGTTATCTGTCAGCTTCTGGGTGTGTTAAAAAATCAAAGCTTTTTTACTTACATAAATATTATTATATACATATGTTTTCGTCAAGAAAATCAGTGTTCTCATTTTTCTTATTTTCGTTACTTTTTATATATTTGGCTATGGTTAAATTAGGGTAGTTCTGCGGTGCGGCGCCTAAAAAACGGCTAATATACGACGTGATCGGTAAAATAAGTGACCGGTTAAAATTTAGACTGGTTATATTATATTATTTAACCGAAAATATTATAAAGTACAATAACATACTAGGTAGCGCTTATATAATGTAATAGGTAGGCTTATATTTACCTATTTTATAAGTAAACCGGTATATTTATACTGATAGCATTGTAAATTTACCTATTACATTATAATATGTTGAAAGTGTCCATACTTTTTTAAAAGGATCGATAATTTTTTTTAAAGTTATGTAATTATGTTTCAATTTTTTAATAGTGTTTCATGTTTTTCACCTACAATATTAATTTAATAATTTCATTGCACAAAAAATTATTTGATTGTTTTGATATTTTATAAAATAATATTTAGAATTTAAATTTAACATATTAACCAAAGATAATATAATATGTAATATATATTTTTATTATTTTTAATTTAATAATAATATATATCCTAACGTAAAAAATAAATCATTAGACGCCTATAATTACTAAATTAATATCTTAAAACTCACTCAAAAGATAACCTTAAATTAATGTTTTTCACAATGAAAAAAGTATGGACACTTTTATAAAAAGGATAGATACTTTACAACTACCTATTACATTATATAAACGATACCTATTACATTATATAAGCGCTACCTATTACATCATATTTTTACCTATTATATTGAAAGTGTCCATACTTTTTATAAAAAGGATCGACACTTTTTTTTAAAGTTATGTAATTTATGTTTCAATTTTTTTTAATAGTGTTTTATGTTTCCACCTACAATATTAATTTAATAATTTCATTACACAAAAAATTATTTGATTGTTTTGATATTTTATAAAATAATATTTAGAATTTAAATTTAACAATATTAACCAAAGATAATAAATATGTATATATATGTTTATTGTTTTTAATTTAATAATATATATATCGTAACGTAAAAAATAAATCATTAGATGCCTATAATTACTAAATTAATATCTTAAAACTCACTCAAAAGATAACCTTAAATTAATGTTTTCCACAATGAAAAAAGTATAGACACTTTTATAAAAAGGATAGATACTTTACAACTACCTATTACAATATAAACGATACCTATTACATTATATAAGCGCTACCTATTACATCATATTTTACCTATTATATTGAAGTGTCCATACTTTTATAAAAAGGATCGACACTTTTTTTAAAGTTATGTAATTTATGTTTCAATTTTTTTTAATTGTGTTTTATGTTTTCCACCTACAATATTAATTTAATAATTTCATTTACACAAAAAATTATTTGATTGTTTTGATATTTTATAAATAATATTTAGAATTTAAATTTAACAATATTAACCAAAGATAATAATAAATATGTAATATATGTTTATTGTTTTTAATTTAATAATAATATATCGTAACGTAAAAATAAATCATTAGACGCCTATAATTACTAATTAATATCTTAAAACTCACTCAAAAGATAACCTTAAATTAATGTTTCCACAATGAAAAAAGTATGGACACTTTTATAAAAAGGATAGACACTTTACAACTACCTATTACATTATATAAACGATACCTATTACATTATATAAGCGCTACCTATTACATATTTTTACCTATTATATTGAAAGTGTCCATACTTTTTATAAAAAGGATCGACATTTTTTTTAAAGTTATGTAATTTATGTTTCAATTTTTTTTAATAGTGTTTTATGTTTTCCACCTAATATTAATTTAATAATTCATTTACACAAAAAATTATTTGATTAATTTGATATTTTATAAAATAATATTTAGAATTTAAATTTAACAATATTAACCAAAGATATAATAAATATGTAATATATGTTTATTGTTTTTAATTTAATAATAATATATATCGTAATGTAAAAAATAAATCATTAGACGCCTATAATTACTAAATTAATATCTTAAAACTCACTCAAAAGATAACCTTAAATTAATGTTTTCCACAGTGAAAAAGTATGGACACTTTTATAAAAAGGATAGATACTTTACAACTACCTATTACATTATATAAACGATACCTATTACATTATATAAGCGCTACCTATTACATCATATTTTTACCTATTATATTGAAAGTGTCCATACTTTTTATAAAAAGGATCGACACTTTTTTTTAAAGTTATGTAATTTATGTTTCAATTTTTTTTAATAGTGTTTTATGTTTTCCACCTACAATATTAATTTAATAATTTCATTTACACAAAAAATTATTTGATTGTTTTGATATTTTATAAAATAATATTTAGAATTTAAATTTAACAATATTAACCAAAGATAATAATAAATATGTAATATATATGTTTATTGTTTTTAATTTAATAATAATATATATCGTAATGTAAAAAATAAATCATTAGACGCCTATAATTACTAAATTAATATCTTAAAACTCACTCAAAAGATAACCTTAAATTAATGTTTTCCACAGTGAAAAAAGTATGGACACTTTTATAAAAAGGATAGATACTTTACAACTACCTATTACATTATATAACGATACCTATTACATTATATAAGCGCTACCTATTACATCATATTTTTACCTATTATTGAAAGTGTCCATACTTTTTATAAAAAGGATCGACACTTTTTTAAAGTTATGTAATTTATGTTTCATTTTTTTTTAATAGTGTTTTATGTTTTCCACCTACAATATAATTTAATAATTTCATTTACACAAAAAATTATTTGATTGTTTTGATATTTTATAAAATAATATTTTAGAATTTAAATTTAACAATATTAACCAAGATAATAATAAATATGTAATATATATGTTTATTGTTTTTAATTTAATAATAATATATATCGTAACGTAAAAAATAAATCATTAGACGCCTATAATTACTAAATTAATATCTTAAAACTCACTCAAAAGATAACCTTAAATTAATGTTTTCCACAGTGAAAAAAGTATGGACACTTTTATAAAAAGGATAGATACTTTACAACTACCTATTACATTATATAAACGATACCTATTACATTATATAAGCGCTACCTATTACATCATATTTTACCTATTATATTGAAAGTGTCCATACTTTTTTAAAAAGGATCGACACTTTTTTTTAAAGTTATGTAATTTATGTTTCAATTTTTTTTAATAGTATTTTTTGTTTTCCACCTACAATATTAATTTAATAATTTCATTTACACAAAAAATTATTTAATTGTTTTGATATTTTATAAATATATTTAGAATTTAAATTTAACAATATTAACCAAAGATAATAATAAATATGTAATATATATATTTATTGTTTTTAAGATAATAATAATATATATCGTAACGTAAAAAATAAATCATTAGACGCCTATAATTACTAAATTAATATCTTAAAACTCACTCAAAAGATAACCTTAAATTAATGTTTTCCACAATGGAAAAAGTATGGACACTTTTATAAAAAGGATAGATACTTTACAACTACCTATTACATTATATAAACGATACCTATTACATTATATAAGCGCTACCTATTATATCATATTTTTACCTATTATATTGAAAGTGTCCATACTTTTTATAAAAAGAATCAATATTTTTTTTAAAGTTATGTAATTTATGTTTCAATTTTTTTTAATAGTGTTTCATGTTTTCCACCTACAATATTAATTTAATAATTTCATTTACACAAAAAATTATTTGATTATTTGATATTTTATAAAATATTATTTAGAATTTAAATTTAACAATATTAACCAAAGAATAATAAATATGTTTTCCACAGTGAAATAAGTATGGACACTTTTATAAAAATGATATATACTTTTTTTAAAGTTATGTAATTTATGTTTCAAATTTTTTAATAGTGTTTCATGTTTTCCACCTACAATATTAATTTAATAATTTCATTTACACAAAAAATTATTTGATTATTGATATTTTAAAATATTATTTAGAATTTAAATTTAACAATATTAACCAAAGATAATAAATATGTTTTCCACAGTGAAATAAGTATAAACACTTTTATAAAAATGATATATACTTTTTTAAAGTTATGTAATTTATGTTTCAATTTTTTTAATAGTGTTTCATGTTTTCCACCTACAATATTAATTTAATAATTCATTTACACACAAAATTATTTGATTGTTTTGATATTTTATAAAATATTATTTAGAATTTAAATTTAACAATATTACCAAAGATAATAAAAATATATTTTCACAGTGAAATAAGTATGGACACTTTTATAAAAGGATAGATACTTTACAATATAACAAGTAAAATATGACAAAACCAGATTCATTATGATAAAACCGGTAAAATTTACTTGATATGTTAAAAGTATGGACACTTTTATAAAAATGATAAATACTTACCGATAACCAAAGTTTACCGGTTACCAAATTTTTTAATAGTTTTTCATATTTTCTACCTAAAACATTATTAGTTGTCAACATAATAGGTACCGCTAAACCGAATTTATTAAATACATTTTAATGTATCCGGTACTGCCGTATATTAGCCGGGTATTAACCCGCCTTTCCTGAGACAATCCCGTTAAATTGAAGAAAAAAATACGCCGGCTTTTACTGCTACGCAGGGTCAAGGTCGGTCCTAACTATTTTTAGGCTTAAAGTAAAAATAAAAAAATAAGCTCCTAATATAAAAAAATAAGAAATATATAATATTAAAATTTTATTAGATTTTTTATTAAATTAAAAAAATAGTAATTCATTACAATATAAAAGATGTAAAAAATATATTTAAAAATATAAATACTTATAAAAAAATATTACATTCGATTATTTTTATGCAAAACCATTGTTGATAGTGTCAATATCAATGCTTTCCAACATATTTTTCTCAATGCATAACATAACATTTAAAAATGAAAGAACGATTTTATCTAGAATTTGAAAATATATAAAATTAAAAAAAAAGAATTTGAAAACGTGATCTACCTAGAATTTTAAGAATAATCTTCAATATGATTCAAGCACCATAATTGATAATAAACAATTGTGATTTTACATGTGAGAGAAATATGATAAACTAAAAAATGATAATAATAATAATTTTCAAATGAATCTTGAAACATGAAAGAGAAAGGAAGCATACTAATTATACTTAAATTTTTTCCTCTCATTAAGTTTTGAAAAAAAGAACATTAATAATAATTTTTTATTGATATGAAAAATCGGAAAAGATATGTGGTGATTTGATAGTTGGAATTTGGAAAGACCAAAATTAAAGAGTTCAATTGAAGTTTTTTTTTTAATTTTGATAAAGAAATATTAAATTAGAATTTTATGGAATAATAATTTATTAACGTTAATATAAAATTCAATAAAGATAGTTGACACCTTAATAAATTCACGGAGCCCATTATTTTATTGAGTAAATTACATGTTTAGTACCTAAATTATTAGTTTTGGTTTGTTTTAATAATTAAACTTTTAATTTTTTCAAAATCATACGTAAAGTTTAGTTTTTGTTTCATTTTATTACCCACCGTTAAAAACTTTAATTTTTTATTTCATTTTAGTACCCATTCAAAATTTAATGTTAAGTTTTGAAAATTTCTGAAATTTTTGTACTAAAACAAACCAAAATTGATAGTTAGGTACTAAATGCATTAAATTTTTAACGACGGGTACTAAAATAAAATTAAACTAAACGTTAAATATAATTTTGAAAAAATTAAAAATTTAGATACTAAAACGGATAATTTAGGTTCTAAAACATAGATTACTCTATTTTGTTTTACAATTTTTTAATTTATTATCAGAAAAATAAAAAAATATTATAGTAAAAAAATTTATTTTGTGTGCCCTGGGCGGCTCCTCCTGCCCTGGCTCAGGGCCGGCACTGCTCAGGGTTCGCCTACTCTGCAGCAGAGGAGAGAATTGTCGAGCTGAGTAGCGAGGAAGAATATGAGTTGTGTGATGTGAGGAACCCCATAAGAATGTACACGGACTGCTTAGATGGCATCCCGTTGGAAAGGGAAGAGATCCACTATTTCGTAAGCAGCAAGGCTGAGAATTGCAAAAACGGTCTAAAGCTACAGGTGGATGTGGGGCCTTTAGTGAACTCCGAGGTCGAAATGCCCAAAATCGCAATGGCTGCCGCACCGCCCACAACCCCTTCCGGATCAGTCCGGCCTAATGGGAGCGCCGAGTTATTATTGGTCGGGCTGTGGCTTTGGGTTTGCTGTATGGCTATTTAGTTATATCAAGTTATGATTCTCCTTGTCAACTTCTTAGGCTAGTGTTTATTATATGCAAATCTACTTTAGTTTTCAAAATTATGTGTTTAATATCTTTGCGACATGAACCTTTAAAACTTAAAGAACATCAAAATATAAATATTACTTTTTTCATAATCGAATCTTTGTTGTGTAAGTATATCTTGGTGATAACTATAACATATTCTGATCATCTGAGGAAGAAAGTGTCGTTTAGGTCGGAGAGGTAAACCACCTTGAAGGTATTATTTCGATCGTGTATTGGATAATGATTTAAAGAGAGTCGCCACTAATCTTTTTAGAGTGTGTTTGAATCACCAAAAAGCTCATTAGTTTAATAAAATTAAAATAACAAAGTTCAGTTGATTATCAAAAAAATCTATTCGGAAATTAATTACATGCGAGGAAGGATTGACAGCGCACAATACCCTTTGTTAGTAAATTATAGTATTTTATTGAAAATAAAAAAATCAATTTATTAATTAAATTTAATTTAAGATACCTTTTAGAAAATCAATTTTAGTTTACACTTAAAAGTAAAATTAGTTTTAATAGAAATAAATTCAAGTAATTAAATTAATGATAAAAGTTTAAATAAATGAAGGAATTGAAAGAAAAAAAACCATAAATGCCGAAAAGGATACAGAAAATTAAATTAGTATTTTGATGAAAAAGGAAAATAGAAAAGAAATTAGGTAAGGCATATTAAATCATACAACGTAATTTACTCATTGACCAAAATAAATTAAAGAAAATTAAGTTAAAATATTATACAAAAAAATGGAGTGAATCAAGCAAAACTAAAATAAATAGAAACAATCAATCAATCATAAATGAAGATCAGGATAGATTGGAATTAAAATAAATTGATGTGAAGAATAGAATCAGTAAATGGTACAAATAAAAGGTCAAATAAAATTAAACTAAATATTAGTATAAAATAATAAAAAGTAAATATTTTATAGTGATGGATTGAACATGAAAATAAAAAAGATAGAGATAGAGTAAATAAAATAATATACATAAAAATTAATTGAATAATAAATTAAATGATAAAATAACGCTGAAGAAACCTGGAAGAAAACAAAAAAAATAGTAAAATTATAAAAATATTTTTAGGGTTTACCCTAGTTTTTTACAACCGTTGTCTTGGTTTTCTTGGATTCGGTGAGTGTGTTGTGCATCTCCTATTGATTTGGTTGGTAAGATGGGAGAAATAGTGCAAGATCTAGATGATTTACATATTGAGGATGAATAGGAGGCGGCTTTAGCAGTTGATGTAAACGAAGGGGTTCTGGCACATCCTTGGAAAGCTAGGGCATGGTGAAGGATTTTGCCCGATGCGGATTTTACAGCATAAACAGGAGCATATTCTTTAATGGGATGTGTCGTTGAGAGCTCTTTCGAGACAGAAGGGGATTTCGCAGAGTCCTTGGTTAGGAGTGGAGGGAGTGGGGAGTAATGTGGTTTCATCTGGCTCTGGTCAAGGTCTTGATTTAACATCTAAGGTTATAAAGCCTAAGTTTGTTGCTAAGGTTAATCCAGAGCGAGTACTAGCTGCGGCTCAACAAAGTATTGAGGATGTTATCATGATCGGGAATGAGGAGAATAATGCATTAGAGAAGGTTGATAATTCCAAATAACAACGTCCAGGGTTTCAAAAAAATGTTCCGAAAATGGGATTCCGTCCGCGATATAGCGGTTTCGCCGCCATCCGAGTTACTTGTTACACTCGCAATAGCGCTTAATAGCGCATGCGATGGCCGAAATAGCTATCGACGGCCACAATCACGGTAAACTCGAAATGACCGAAAACGCGACCGTGATTTGAAACCCTGAGAACGCACTCTTTGTCCTCTAGGACTAGAGGAGAGGTTATGGAAGTGAGAGGAGGACACATGGGACCAGCGGTAGGCCTGCGAATCCAGGCCGAGCCGATCACAATGAAACTTCTAAGTTGGAATGTCCGGGGTTTGGGGAAGCCTTGGTCATCTCGTCATCTTCGACACATGCTAAAAGATGCTAGCCCTTTTGTAGTTTTCCTAATTGAAACGAACCTTCAGAATACGCATATGGAGAGAGTTAGAAGATTTTGTGGATTTAGTAGTGGTATTGAGGCGAGTGCTCGTGGTAGTTGTGGTGGCTTGTGTTTGGCATGGAAGGAGTGTGACGTTCGTTTGCGCTCTTATTCGGACATGCATATAGATGTGGTTATTATGGATTTGGATCAAGGTTTGAACTAGAGATGCACATGGTTTGATGGTGATTCTGTAGAGCAACGTCAACAACTCTCTTGGGATCTCCTACGGTAATTGGATAATGATAAAGATATTCCGTGGCTTGTGATAGGGGATTTTAATGTAATCTTGTTTTCGTCAGAGAAAAAAGGAGGTCTGGATAGAGATAGAAATGAGCGACAAATGGAAGATTTTCGGGCTGCTTTAACTGAGTTTGGTCTTGACGATATTGGCTTTTCAGGCAAGTGGTTTACATTGAAGAGGGGCAGACGTGCAACAAATAATATACGAGAAAGACTTGATAGGGGTAGCAAATTCAATCTGGTTTGATTTATTTCCCAATTATAGTTTGGTCTATTTAACCCATGCTATGTCGGATCACTGCCCACTTCTGTTAAACAATGCGATAAAGCCTCGGACGAGGCGTCATTAGCACTTTAAATTTGAGGTGGCTTAGTTGATGGAAGATTCATGTGAAACTGAGGTGCGACTATTGTGGGATTCATCCAATGGATCAGTTCTCGATATATTATTGGTGGTTCGAGATAGTTTGGACGAATTGGCTTCGCAATGGAGACCAAAACACTACTTTCTTTCATCGATTTGCCATACAGAGGAAGCGGTATAATCGCATTCATTCCCTGAGAATGATGATGGGGAACAAATTGTTGATGACAGGAGAATAGATGTACATGCCAGGAATTATTTTTATGATCTTTTCAAGTCGAATGAGGAGGTAGTGTACGATAGGGTACTTGACGGCATCTCAACGTATATATCGGAGGCCATGAATGATAGTCTTTCGGCTGATTTCACATATGATGACGTGTCAAGAGCAGTGAAGGATATGAGTCCTCTTAAAGCTTCCAGTGCGGATGGTCTTGAAGCTATTTTTTATCAGAGGTTTTGGAACATATTCGGGAAGGAGATAGCAGATTTTTTTATAGATTTGATCAAAGGTAATTCTTATATGAGGTTAGTAAATACAATGCATATTATGTTTGTTTAAAATTGTGTCCAAGATGTTAGTCCACCGAATGCACGGGATATTACACTTGTGTATTGATGAAGCGCAGAGCGCTTTTGTGCTGGGAAGACAGATCAAGGATAACATTATCTCGGCCTATGAACTTTTACATTCATTTGTTAATCGACGCACCAGAAAGAGAGGTTTTTTCACCCTCAAGCTCGACATGAGCAAGGCATATAATCGGGTTGAATGGTTGTTTGTATGGGCAGTCATGGAGCAAATAGGGTTCTTAGCTCAATGGATTTTAATTATCAAATGATGTATTAGTATGGTGGCATATTCTGTGATTGTTAACGAAGTTATGGGGGAACAATTTTGTCCTCACCGGGGACTCAGACAAGGGGACACTTTTAATCCGTATCTCTTCTTGATTTGTAGTGAAGGTTTATCTTCTCTCATCAGACAAGCGGTTGGGCGAGGAAGTTTAAAAGGAGTAAGGATTAACCGATACACGCCTTTGGTTACTCAACTCATGTTCGTTGATGACTGCATCATCTTTGGGGAGGTTGACATAACTAATTCTGGGCAGATTTCAGACATTCTTCGCGAGGATGGTCTTAGTTCGGGGCAATTAATAAATCTAGATAAATCTGGTTTATTCTTTAGCTCTAATGTCAGTGAGGAAAATCGAGCTGATATGCGACTTATATTGGGGGTCTCTAGCTCTTCGAACCCCGAGAAATACTTGGGGCTGCCTACAATTATATGACGCAATAAGAAAAGAGCTTTTATCCATCTCAAGGAGAAACTTACATCATGGATTAACTCGTAGAGTGTAAGATTTCTATTTCAAGGCGGTAGGGAAGTCTTCATAAAATCAGTGCTACAGGTGATTCCCTTGTTTGCCATGTACTGTTTTCTTCTCCCAAAGAGCTTATGTTCAGAACTGGAGGGAGTGCTTGCTAGATTTTGGTGGAAGAAATCTCCAAAGAAAAAAGGTATCCATTGGAGTTCATGGAAATCTTTTTGTACTTTAAAAGAGAATGGTGGTCTTTACGGGATCTTGCAAAGATCAACATTGCCTTACTTAAGGATGGAAATTGATCCATGATGTGGGTTATTTAATGACTCGGTTAATTCGAGCTAAATATTTCCCAAACATCAATTTTTGGCACGCGCAGTTGGGTTCGTTCCCTTCGTATAGCTGGCGTAGTGTTTGGAGCGCCACACGAGTACTAGAAATGGGGGTTCAGTGGCAAGTAGGTTCGGGCACTGCAATCTCCATATGGAATGACTACTGGTTACCGGTGTTTCCATTGTCCAGGATAGAGAGTCCTCAGGTTGAAAATTTGAGTTGGGTATCTGATTTAATTAACCAAAACACAAACTCCTGGGATGTTAATTTGATTTATAAGTCCTTAACCCCGATAGAAGCTGGAAAAATCCTCTCTATTCCCCTCCCTTCAATAGCGATGGAGGATTGTATGGTGTGGGAAGGTGAAAGAACTGGACTTTATACGGTGCGGAGTGGCTATCGTATTTTGCTGGAGGAAGATGTTGAGCCAAATCAATGGAAGGATTTGTTTAGGAAGCTTTGGGAAAGTGATTGTCAACGCAAAATTAAACTTCAAAGATGGACATTTGTTCATAATCTTGTCCCAACTAGGCAAAATCTCCATTATAGGAGAATTTCACACACTCCTTTCTGTTTCAAGTGTTCAACACAGGAGGAAAGTTTAGTGCATGTTCTGTGGGGTTGTGGTCAAATTCGAGAA